CCAAACAGTTAAATTCATGGACACATCCATTTCTGTGGCTAAAGCTCTGGAGTGTCCTCAGAAGGCAAGCAGAATGAGTACCCACCCTGCCAAATTCCTGGAAGCTGCACCTATACCTCTTGGCTGCAGCGACTCTGAGGGCTCAAATTCACCACTTGACTAATATTCTTGAGGAGACCCAAAGTGTGCAACATTTCATGGACCCTGATGCCCAGGGGTTTGGGCTGGGCAACCTCCCCCACCTCTCCATATTTCTGTCAACCATGCCCACCTCCCATAGGCACACCAACCAGCCTTGCTCTACCCAATCAGATTAAATCTCCAAGAAAAGATTAGCAAAGCAGATAAAATGCATGGACACAATGGGCCTCATGGGTGAAAACCCTGGGGCATCTTAGGGAGGTGAGAAGGGCAATTATCTATCCTGCCAAAGCCCCTGCAGTCACACCACAGCACAACAATGCAGTCAACTATAGGACTCAATTCTACCTCTCAACTAACAACTCTGGTGTCGTTTCAGAGTCAGGGTGGGTAGCCTTCCACAATCTTCCAGGACTTCCTAAAACCTCAGTAGCCACAGCCAAGCCCAGCCTCCATATCTGCCACCATATTGGGTCACCCATCACCTATACTCTACCAATTCAAGACAAAATCTTTGCTAAGAGGCAAGGCAAGCACTGAAATTCATGGACAATGACTGAAAACTCAGGCGCATCCTTAGGAATCAAACCGGAAGAGCACATGCTCTGCTGAAGACCCAGCGGCCACACACCTTCTCAACCACCACAGCCGGGCCATGGGCTCACCTCCACCACTTCAGTCACATTTTCTTCAGATACCCCAAACAACAATGAATTCCAGCGATAATGCCCCAGTGATGGTGTGTTCTCGGAGTCTGGGTAAGCAGGCTCTATACTCTCCCATACTTCTGAACGCCACAGCCCCACTTTCCACAGCCGCTGACATGCTGAATCACCCAAGGGCCCTGTTCTACTAACTCACGACTAAATCCGAGAGGAGATGCAAGCCAAACTAAACTCATGGACCAGTCACTTTCTGTGGCTAAAAACCCTAGTAGTCTATTCAGATGAGTATCTGCCAAAGCCCCAGCGGCTACACCCACAGCCCGACACTGCAGCCAGATAGAGGGTTCAACTCTACTGCTTCATTAATATTTTCTGCGAAGATGCCAAAGTACGAATAATTTCAGGTGCCCCTATTCTCAGGTTGAGAACTCTGGTGTGTTCTAGGTGTTGTGTTCGCAGCCTCTTGCATCTCCCACATATTCTTGGATGCCGCTCAGCCACGCCCACCTCCCAACAACTGCCACTATGTTGACTCATTGACTCGCCCACATATGCCGGTCTACTGTTTTACTACTAAATCTCCAAGGAAATGCAAGCCAAGCAGCTACATCTTATGGAGACACCAGTCCCTAAGGCTGAAAACTCTGTGAGCCACCCTGGGGAGGCAGGTGGGGAGAGTCCCAGCATTGGCACACTCACTCCAGCACTGCAGCCATGTCATGGGTTCAACTCCACCTCTTCATTAGTCTTCTCTGCAGACACCAAACTGCAAGTCATTTTAGGCACTTGGGTCTTCAGGCTGAGAACTCAGGTTTCTTCTCAGAGTTGGGCTGGAGAGCCTCCCCATGTACTTCTGGAAGGTCCAGCAGCCACACTCACCTTCCATATATGTTTCCATGCTAACTCATTGGCCCAGAACATAGATCCTGATGTCTCTGACATTGAGGCAGCATATCAAACAAAAACAATAACACAGAAGGCTAACCAAACAATAAACAGCTGAGGAAGTTCTCAGACAAGGACTTATGTACCTAGTGATGAAATATAACAATTTTCACATAAGAAATCATCGTTTTATACTTATTGATTTTAACGAGGGCTTTGTTAGCTACTCAATTTCAACTCTAGAATTATATCAACATTCATGGCTTTGTCTACATTAAAATTCATTTAAAAAAATTAAAATAAAATTGTTTTGTTTTATGGTCACAGCTGGAGACATTCAATGCTTATTCCTGCTCTTTGTTAAGGGATTCACTTCTCGGAGCTGCAAGAGCCAACTTGGGGTGCTGGGGATTGAATCTGGGTCGGCTGTGTGCAAAGGAAGCGGGTGACCTGCTGTACTATCTGTTTGGCCTCATTAATCAAACTTTTTACAATTAATCTCAAATATTATAAACTTCAATCTTAGAATTTTCTTATGGAGGAGCTATAATTTTATTTGCCCCAGATTAAAAAATCCTTAGGATTTCTTGACTTTCTTGAGGTCCTGAAAGTAGTATAAAGCTATTGGTTATAGGAAAGATGAAGGGTTAAAAGAAATTTCTCATTCTTTTTTTAATCTAATCTTTTATTAAAAAATTATAAATCAAAAGTAGATGGAACAAACTATCACTTTACTAACTACTATTTAAGGAGATATAGCATGTTTCAATCAATAGTGTTTAAGAAAGAAAAAAATGCTTATTAAAGTAGTTGATACATCCTTTTCTAGCTTGTCAGATTAGGTGTAACAAACTAGAAGCCTAAAATGAAAAATAACTATAAAGGGGCATAAAGTCGTTGGATAATTTGACAATCATATTAACTTATTCTTTCAGCAGTTAGGTAAATCTAAGCATTTAGACTAGAATTCCAGAAGTCAAGACACAGTCTCTGTATCTCAGTCTGTCTTACTTCTGTTAAGTGGGTATGTTTGATGTTTATATTAGAACCTAGGGCACTAAACCTAGGGCATTTGTATGGAAAAATAATGGAAAGTCACTACATAAGATTAGTGAATTTTTCAGCGAAACTACTTCAGAAGAGGAAAATAAATATAATTGAAATCATGTAGCACTGTAGCACTCGCCCCCACTGTTCATTGATTTGCTCGAGCAGGCACCAGTAATGTCTCCATTGTGAGACTTGTTGTTACTGTTTCTGCCATATTGAATACGCCACGGGGAGTTTGCCAAGCTCTGCCACGCGGGCAGAATCCTCTCGGTAGCTTGCCGGGCTCTCCAAGAGGGATGGAGGATTCAAACCTGGTTTGGCCGTGTGAAAGGCAAATGCCCTACCCGCATGTGAGAATATTAAATTACTTCCTAAATAAAAAAGTCTTCTCACACTGATACTATACATTTCCTATTAAATATATTTTCAGGCTGGGATGCATGGCTCAGCAGTACAGCAGTTGGCTTATATGTATGAGTCCTGGGTTTGATTCCTAGCACTGTTAAAAAAAAGCTTATAAAAATATCTTTTTTTACTACTTACAGATTACGCCATGAGAAGCCCTTATCTGGAGACATTTTTGATGACTTATTTCAGGGCAAAATTCATACAATCTAATTCCCAATTACACAGTTCTTTTGGATTTCTGTCTTAGCATGTATCTAAAAATTTTTCTTTACGTTTGGAGGCTGAAGGTGTAGTACAGAGGTTAAGGCAGATTCCTTGCATGGTTCCAATTCTCGTTTGATCCCTGCCATCAGGTGGCCCCTAAGCTTTACAGGATGCAGCCCTGGCCTCTCTTCTGAACCATCAAGGTGGCCCAGGAAATCCCCAGCCCCTTAGCTCTGAGCAACGTCACCATCTTGAGCCAAAAATGGCAAAGATTCACTGTGAGGGGTAGCGCATCTCCTGAGCACTTTTTGGATGAACCAAAAAAATAAGAGCCCACCCAACAAAAATCATTTAGTTTTTATCAATTGTATCACATGTCATCCCATTGCTCATTGATTTGCACGAGCAGGAGCCAGTAATTCAGTAATGTTTCCATTCGTGAGGACCGTTATTGTTACTGTTTTTGGCATATCGAATATGCCACAGGTAGCTTGCCAGACTCTGCTGTGCGGGGGGGATACTCTCAGTAGCTTGCCGGGCTCTCTGAGAGGGACAGAGGAATCAAACCGGGGTTGGCTGTGTGCAAGGCAAATGCCCTACCTGCTGTGCTATTGCTTCAGCCCTAGTTTTTATAAACTGAGAAATAACTCCTAAGTAAATAAACAGATTTACTGGAAAATTATCAGGAAAGTGCAGTGTTGAAATCAGATTAGCTATAGTTTACAATACAGACTAGTCTATAATTGTATAGTCCACTTTCAGGCGTGATTCCTGTTGTGGAACTTTCAGGCTAGAAAAAAATTCAGAAAGAATATTCATAAAGAAAAGTTATAGCAAAAGAGTGAACTCATTTTTTATTTACTTTTTGCAATGCCAGGGATTGAGTCCAGGAAGTCACACATATGAGGCATGTGCTCTACCACTGAATCTCAATCCTGGCATATTCTAATTTTTAAAAATATTTTAGTTTAATATATTTTCAGTTTAATAACATTTAAGTTTCCACATTTAAAGACAACAAATCTGTAACTGTAGCATTTAGTCATGATGGACAAATAATTCAACAAAACATTTTACGTAAAATGTTCTAAAACATATTGAAACTATTTTCACATTTTCTACATTTATTATTTTAATTTATTTTTAAAAATTATATAATGTATTTTATGGAATCACTGCAGAACAGACTATAGAGAAGAGTACTCTAAATATAAATATGAAAATAAAATTCTGCCATCAATTAAAGTTCTCTGTTACAGAGAATTATTTTGAAAGTGCTAACATTTTTATGGCAAATAGTAGCAGGATACATTTAAATATTAGACAAGCCATTTGGTTGAAAAATTTCGCAGAATGAAAAAACAAATAGTTTAGCAATTTCAGGTCATTATAAATAGGTTTTATATGTCATACACAGATGATATTCTTATATCCTGTTATATACGCCTAAGTTAACTTTGGCTATATGTAAATATTCAGAATCTAGTTGTTATGAGATATTATAAAGATGTTCTTATGTTTGATGTAACAAATGAAAGAGACTATACAAGGGAGATAAATATAGCTGTTTATTAGAATTAAACTGGACAATTTAAAGTGCATTTGTATATAAAGCACTATTATATTGGGAATTTAAGATTTTTAAAAAAAGCCTTTTAAGTAATTGATAGGAGTAAAACCTATGTTTCAACTCAAAAGAACATTTGTTTTAACTATCAATTTAATAAAGCACTAAAAATAACTATTGGGGCCAAGTATGTGATTTCATAGTAAAGCACATGCTTTAAACTTATGAGGTCCTGGTTTCAACCTCTGATACCACAAACACATGTAATAATAACTATTACCCCAAAAGCATATAAATCATCAAATCAAACCAAATTAATTTGGGGGAGATCAAAATTATCAATGAGAACACATAACAAGAGAATTTACTATCGATTCATCTGCAACACAATCTCCATGTTTTAATAACTATATATCACTGTCACTGTCACTGTTCTCTCATTGTTCATCGATTTGCTCAAGCGGGCCCAGTAACTTCTCCATTGTGAGACTTGCTGTTACTGTGTTTGGCATATCGAATGTCATGGGGAGCTTGCCAGGCTTTGATCTTATTTTAATTTGGTTTAATTTAACATAAAAATGCAACACTGGAATGTGTTTAAATAGTGTTTCTCAAGAATCCCACAGTAGTAGTAGCAGGGACGGATTTGCATTTAAGATTCAGGCATTAAGGGCCAGGGATGGCTCAGCAGTAGAGCAAATGCCTTGCATATGTGAAGCCCAGATTCAATCCCGAGCACAACAAAAATAAATTAACACTTACAAAATACAAATTTTTTGTAAAAAAAAAAAAAGTCTTAACAATCTCCCCACTCTCCAAAAAAAGGATAAAGTTCTAGGGGGAGGGAGAGGGGGGAGTCAAATTCTGAATATGGAAATTTTAGTATTAAAAATTTAATGCAATTTAAATGCATAATTTGAATGTAATTTGTCAATATTATTCCACATTCTCTGTAAAATTAACCAATTAACAAGGCATTTTAATCAAAAACTATCATAACATTTTAATTAGAGTAAAAATGCATATTCTTAGTTAATTTAAAGTTTGCAGCTAAAATGAATGTATTCTGCAGCTAAAGAAAATACATATTTAAAGCATTTTTCTTTTAATCTGCTTAAGGGCACCCCAGTTTAGGTTGTTCACCCAAAGCTTTGTCCTAAATCTAAATAATTCATTCAAGCAGCAGATGAATCACTCAACCTAAAAGCCTCTTCAAATGCCCCATTCTTGAAACTTCTGGAACACTTGTCAAAACAGTAACTGTTCTTTGAGTATAACCCTACCAGTAGCCTTTTGAGTTTCTCTCTGTCCTAATCCTCTCTTTGACTATGCCTTCTAAACAGGTTCATTCCTCACTGGTCTTTTTCCCTCTATTAAAGTGTCTACTCCTGTCCGGATAAGCGCTGACTGCCATCATCTGTGTCTCAGGAAAAGATTATAGGACCCTCCCTACTGAATGTCTGTGGAATAAGCAGAGAAAGTGAAAATAGTGCAGGAATATAGGAACATAGACAGAAGGTGTCTAACTACTGTGTGGGTTTATTCCCTCAGGTCTCTATTAAAGACACTTACTCTAACCTATTAACAGATAAACACCAACAAGAAGCTGGTTTAAATAGCCATTGAAAAACAACATATTTTGGAGCAAGAGGCATATCCAAAGAAATAGAAATATGTACTAAAAAAGAGACATTTAATTTTGTGTGTTACGTGTGTGTGTGTGTGTGTGTGTGTGTGTGTGTGTGTGTCAAAATGTCCCTCAGTCACTGTAACCTAGGATGAAGTTTAAAAGTTAGAAGTAGTTAACATTTCACATATTAAACCATGAAGGTTTAGTTATAGGAAAAAGACCTCCAGAAATCAAAAGACTGAGTTAAACAGTGCAAAGACTGGGTTGCTTCATGAGAATCTTATCATGTATTTTTCCAAGCCTGTAGAAGAAAAAAAAAAAAAGGAAAACACTCTCCAGTTTTAACACAAACTAAAGATAAATATTTATGAAGGAAAACAAATCCCGCAGCATTCCATACAGATTTCCAAGCAGTCTGATGATTCACAACAGGCATCCATGATGCCACAGTCCATGTCACAAGGGCAGTTACAGTCTTCCCCCATCTCATCTCCACAGCAACAGCAGCAGGCTTCGGAGGTGCAGATGCCACATGAAGCTTGTCCCAGAACAATATTGCAGAGGGTCAGAAATTCACAGAACAAGCAGGCCAGGATGCAGTGGACACAACAGTCTTCATTTCAACCATGAGGAGAAAGCATGGTGGAGAAAAAGAAGAAACAAATTATGTAAACCATCAACACACAATTTAATCAATTCCTCTTAAGCAATTCAGACCTAATGACATGCAGTTCTTTTGTGGGCTGGAAACTCAAAAAGAAACAAATTCAATTCTAGATGAGTAATTCTACTTATTTATTTGGGAGGCACTATGCTCACAAGCAATGCTCAGGAGGCCTGGGGGCCTCTTCTGGTGATTCTTGGCCTGTGAAGCTGAGGATCCAATGCAAGGATGGATGCAATCCTATGGATTTAATAGTGCTGAATATTCAGGTCCTGGCCTATTTCTAACAGATAATTTATAACACAGTAACACTGCTTCCTGTTTCTGTGCAATGCTTCTAGTTTTCTATTTTCTGAGATATCTCCATTGATTACCCAGGCATCAGAGTGGCACTCACGGTCCTCCAAGGCCACATCCAAGCAGCACCGATAGAGATTCAGCAACTTGTGGGTATGGCCTACAGTGCTGTACTCACTTCAGGGGACCATGTGGTGCTAGGTATGGAACCAGGGTCAGTTGTATGCAAGGCCTGTTCCTTAATTTCTGTCCTATCTCTCTGGCCCTACAAGCAGGTATGGAATTGGGAGAAAATGGTCTTATTATATTGTCTGCATGCAGGTAGATTACTTTGATTCTCTGTAAACAGTTCTTAAATCCTCTACTCTACAATGTATCTTACCTGTTTTATTTTATTTATTTAATCTTACCTGTTTTATTGCCTTTCATTATATTGGCCCAAACCCACCCATTTCCTTCAGAAAGAAATTTGTTTCAACTGATTGAGCTACTTATTACAAAGATAGAAGAAAAAAACAGACTTAGTCAGAATATTATTAAATAATAGATTCAGTAGTTAAGTTGGAATTTATTAAACTGGGATCAACATATTTTATGGTTTAATTAAATTAGTTCAATTTCATGTTCCCAAATTGATCTTATGTCACAAGAATTTTAAAAACAAAAAGAGAAACTCTGGTTAGGTCCAACCATCCTTTCTAGAAGAGGTATTTAGTTTTGTTTTTTTTTTTTAACTGTTTCTCACAGATACTTTATACTGATATAGTAACTCTGCTTTTCTACTTCTTAGGTGGCAATGCTTAGGATTTATATTTTCTGAAATATCTCTATTAATGCTTCTTATATAATGATGCTTACCAAACTTCACAAAGGAGAGAAAACAGATTACAATTAAATATATTTAGTATACCATATTCCAGATTTGTTCCTTTTGAACAACTGAAAAATTCTGTCTCTGAAGAACTCTAATACCAGTAATTAAGATCAGCCCTATAGACAGTTGTGAAATTTTATAACACCTGTACATTTTTACTAAATTATTTTTAATATGTTGTATAATGTAATGTTCAACAAATGTACTACTTCTTATAATAGTAACAATAAGCAATAATCTCCACTCTTTCACTATCATAAACCTCCGCATTTCTGAATTTGGCATTTAAACAGAGAGTCTTTGATAGAGATTTAGCAACTGGTGTATAACTGAAAATGGGAGTAGGATGGAATTATGTTCTCTGATAGTGCTGGCTGAATAGGAAAGAATGATCTTTATAAAACGTTACACAACTTCTAAACATAGAGGTGAGATTAAAGAAAATATGTATCATAACAGGGACTATCCTTCAGGTAAAGAAAAGCAACTGTACTTGGCATAGTATGTCTTGTCTCAATAGACTCTACAAGCCTCTCTATAATCATCCCATCATTAAAAACACAAATCCTTAAAGTCTCTCCCCTCCACTTTACCTATAGACTCTTAACTCTGTGGTGTCTAATATTGAAAAAAAGAGATGAGAATAGAACTTTGTGAAGCTTCAAAAGAACTCAAAACAAATTTCAGAATACTTTGGTTGTTGCAGTATTAGATTTTAATCCTATACATCTTCCTTCCATTATCCTGAGTGTCACATTATTTTCATATGCAATGATCTCTAGAAAATTGGCTTAGTTACCAGAGTTCCCAGGTTCCTCTTCCAATGTCCTTTAATATTTTTAGGAGTAATCCTATCAGGAGAATCTGAAGACAAGTACATAAATCCAAGACTATAGTATAGAAAAAAATTTAGTTTTTTTTGTCTTATTATCTTATCTAATGTATCTATTCAGGCTTTTTTTTTAAACACACACACTCCTGTTTTATTTATTTTGGGGTCACACTTGGCTGTGCTCGGAGAATCATACATTAAAAAATATTAGATATTAAGGCACCATGATTTTCATAGCTTATACACACACACACACACATACACACACACACACACACATTAATCTCTACGCTATGGATGCACTTGAAGTCCCTTACCCTGTTATCTTCCATCCCTCTCATTATCCTCCTTGGTTTCTTTCCTTCTTTTTCTTTCTCATTCCTATGTTCAAGGGTGAATGGTAGTCTGAGCTTCCCCCACTTGAGACCATGCATTCTTTCTTAGTGTTATTTTTCTATATGAAATTGATACCATTTTCACATGATGGTTGATGGAATGAGAAATTACACTATAGTAGTTTTATGTTAAACATCCTTATTTACTGTAAACTTGGACCTATTTTAAAGTTTGCTAGCTTTCGCGTTTCCATTTCTTGGTCATGTGTCTACTAAGTGTTCATACTTCATCCCCCCACCCCCCACTGAGTTCCAGAAGTTATTCAAATATTCAGATACCAGTTCCTTCTAAATTATGGTCACTCTTTCTTGGTACACGGTTTTTCAAAAAAAAAAAAGGGAGCTTAAGAGATAGTATAGCAAGTAGACACTGGTCTAACAAGCAGTCAACCCAGGTTCAAACCCCTGCATTCCATATGGTACCTGGAGTGATCCCTGAGAGCACACCTAGATTATCAGTCAGGTATGGCAAAAAAGCAAGCAAAATAACAACAATAACAAAAAATGTAAGGGCCAGAGACAGGAGTGCTCTGGGTTCTCAGGTCTGCAGGTGAGTGGGAGTTATCAGGGCTGCATTGAGTGGTGCTGTGAATGTGCTGCAGTGGGTTGAACTCAGGACCGCACAGGTGCAAGGGATGTGATCTGCCATTTCAGCTAGTGACTTGCTCCCAGTATGGGACTTTTCTCAGGTAAAATAACAACAAGACAAATGAGTACACTTTTATACAATGAGAGTCTGATTTGATGAAGAAGTATCCAAATAAAATTAACTGAGTCAGAAGATTAATGGTCCAGGAAATGAAGAGGTAGATGCTTGATAAATTAGTCAATGAACAAAATTCTTGTAGCTGCATGAAATAAAAATATTAAGTGCTGGATTCAAAACAAGACAGTACGGCCATTTCCATATAGAAATAAGGAGAAGAAAGCAGGAAGGAGAGATTCAACATGATGATGCAAAGTCAATAGTCCTCAAAAAGAAAAGATAGGAGTGACAGTCTATGCTAAAGTCACTACTGCTTATAGGAGATACTCATTTGAGTATTACTATCTCTTCCATATCATAGATAATGGTATTTGCTACATAGAAGTTAGAAGCTCTAAGCCAAAAAAATGAGATTTCCCAAGCTGCTACTTCAGTCAACAATTTCTACAAATTAGTCTGCTGCAATGTCTCTATTTTTAGTAGGCAATGAAAAGAATGTAAAATTGCTTATCTCTTAATAGATCAAATACTCCTTTTCTAGCCTTTTCTTCTATAACATTATCTGATTTCTATAATGAGTCACTGTTTTGCATAGAATGGGAAGCCTGGCATTATATAAAATGATTTATTTGCTATTTTCAGAATTAAGAAATATGTTTCTTAGGTGCGAAAATATTTTCATCATTCACTTAAAATATTTAAGAAGATTTCTTGGTATAAAATTCTATTTTAACCTATTTACAAATATTGAATTCTATCATCATTCTGAAGAAGCAATACTGGCCTTCTATATCTACCAATGCAGAGATAGTATTACAGAACATTTTATAATTTGCCCAAAGTCAAAGGCATAGAAGTCATAGAGACAGGGTTAGTAGCTTTATCACTCATCATAAATTGTGTGTTGTTCATCTTCCTGGGGGCCCGCCTGAGCAGCTATACATCCAATACTTTCTCATGTTTCTTGCTCATTTCCTTTTAACTTGTGGCTCATATTCTTTGTTTTTTCAAAAGATAACGGTGAATTTCAGTTTTAATGAAGAGTTGATGGTATATGTGAACCTTCCATAAGAAAGAAAAAAGTTTGACTTGGAGAACTGATACACACATCACATGTGGAAAGAGAGTAGAAAAAAAAAGGCATCTACTTTAAAAAACAGACATCTACCAAATACAGACACTTACAACCAATAGATACTTAAAATGTTATATATATATATATATATATATATATATATATAGAGAGAGAGAGAGAGAGAGAGAGAGAGAGAGTCATCTATAAGCCCTTTACAGATTAGAAGAGTAAATCAGGCTACTCTGAAAAACCATCCCTAGTAACTGACACTTCAAGAAGCCACAAACCAAAATGCAAAATAGAGATTAGTCAGCAAGATGCATTTACAGAGACATCTAGAAAGAAAAAAAAAACGAGCATTTTTCTGTATATCCTAAATAGAGAAATACCCACATTGACAATAATAAAAAAGAAATGAAAAAATACTTCTTTGCAATCTATCAAATTAGGTTTAGTCTTCAAGCCCAAGTTCTGCCCTAAACACATATAGTGCTTTTTATTTTTTTAATTTATTTTTTATTAGTGAATCACCGTGAGATACAGTTACAGACTTACAAACTTTTGTGCTTGTGTTTCAATCATACAATGATCAAGTATCTATCCCTCCACCAGTGTCCATATTCCACCACCAATGATCCAAGCATCCCTCCCACCACCCCCACCCTGTCCCCTCCAGCCCACCCTGCCTCTGTGGCAGGGCATTCATTCCCTTTTGCTCTCTCTCTCTTTCTCCTTTTGGGTGTTGTAGTTTAAAATCTTGCTTTTTTGGT